CTTCATGAACCAAACACACCTTTAAAGCTAATTCCACCTTTGATTGAGTGATTCAAAGTCTTTTTGGTAACATTGGAATTGGTTAAATTAGGTGAATTTGTTATAATTCTAACTGAAATGACTGAATTGGTAGATTGTAAAAATTATTTTCAAAATGTACGTAGTATATTATTAATAAAATTAAAGAATGTATATATGAAGAAATAGATAAAATAATCTGGACTCTATAGTAAATCATCTAATTTAGTAAAAAAAACTAAGGATGCTTTTACTTGGATTGTCTTCAGTCCCAGATCAAATCAAATCAGACTTAAACAAACCAGACCAGACTTAAACAACCCATACCAGACTTCTATAGTTATAAAATACACAGAGACCAGATCAGTTCAGACTAGATTAACAAATTTCAGTCCAAGTAAAAATATCCTAAGTAACTTCACTTTTACTTATTTTGATTACTACCTTATGTAGTGCATGAAATAAAAAGTTATGTGTCTAATAAAAACATTACCTAATAAGCCCCTTACAGTGAAAGTAAGGGTTATCAAAGGCCCTCATCTTTGAGTTTGATACACTGGGAGAAGGAAATTATAATGGAAACTACTGTTTCAATTGAAAATGAATGGACCAACTGTTGTATTGTGACACATCAGACAATATCCATCCATTAATCTACAGTCAATTTGCAATAAAAACGTAGTTGGTTTTTTGGTTATATTTCTTTTTCATACATAAACATCCATCGGAATATAAAACATATCTAAAAGAATCGTTCATGTTAGTTAATTGCCAGAAAACAAAGTGAAAAACTGAAGTGTTTAGTCTTGGATATGGTCAAATGGGAGACTATGTAGCATGGAAACATTCGGCAAAGAGGACGTTTCCGTTTCGGAAACTCTACGGAAACTCTCAAACAAACATCTTTTGAGCAAAAATTGACATTTCCCATTTCTTCAAGATTTTCATGTTTCCGTGCTAAAACTTACCCAACCGGGACGAGCTGTTTGCTTTAAAGTGGTTTAAAGTGATGAATACCAAGTAATTAATATACGTAGTACTTGTCAAGTTGTCATTCGAATGAGACCCATTGCGTCAAAATATACGTCCCAACAGTATTTGCAAAATAAGACTCACGATATAGGGCAAAGTTTTGAAACACACCGGGATTTTTCTTGTTGTACCTACTATTGTATCTACTTTTGTACCCACCATGTCTTCATAGACATATTTTTGTTTATGACCGGGATTCACAGACAAAAAAAACTCCTCACAGACGTGGTGGGTACAAAAATGAATACAATAGTGGGTACAAACAGATTTTTCCAACACACTAACTATCTAACACCATATTATATTTCTTTGTGATGATAAAGAAACCGGGACCTAACTCACCTGGTAGGAAGAGGGTGTCACAAGAAAGAGATTTCGGGTTCAACTCTAAATAATGATTTGAGATGGAGTCTCACACTCTTTCCCGATCGGAGTGTGCTCAATGTTTAACTTACTGATAATTGTTCTCTCAGTTCATGAGGGGGCCTCATGAAAGTGGTGTCATCCTTTTTTCTGTGATAATAAATAATAAATAATCAACAATCCAACTATTGAATAACCCCGTTGCACAAATCCCATTTTCATCTCATCAATTTAGGGGTTGCATGTTTTGTTTTTATATATACTCTACAACTTAATTCAGGAGTCGTTAATTCCATATAATATAGAAAATTTAATTTAACATGTCAACATCTCTCAAATCCATTGTAGGGACCCTGCTTCTTTGCTCTACATATTTATCCATCTCCTTTCCGATCTTTTTCCACTCTTCCATACCGTTTGATTCCTATGTTTAAAAAACCGACCCGACCCAGCCGGGTTGACCCGAAACCCGGTGACCCGGACAAAAAACCGGTTCGGTTTTTTCAAAACCCGGAAATGGTCAAAAACCGGAAAAACTCGGCTGACCCGGGAAAACCCGGTCAAGACCCGGACCCAAGAAACCCGAAAAACCCGGTAAAACTCAGTTTTTGGGTGTTTTTACCAAAAAAGAGTAATTTCTTTTTTATTTTTGATGCATTTTTTATACCAATAAAATTGCAATTTCAATACCTTAAAAAGAAAAACTACGTAATATATTTATATATTTATTTAAGAATGAACATTATGCCAAATTATAATATAGATGTACAATAAAAATAAAAATATCATTATATATTTTTATAAGATCAAAATATACATTGAAATATTATGAGAGTGTATTAAATGCTTAATAAGTAGTATTGTTAGTTGATTATTATGAATAATAACTAATTTTTATTATAATTATATATATAATTATATGTTTACTATTATTATATAGACGTATAATCATTGACCGGTTTTCCGGCGTTGACCGGGTTGACCCATCGGGTCCAGGTTGACCCGTGACCCAGTCATGTGGCCGGGTCACTCTCCGGTCCGATTTTTACAACATAGTTTGATTCGTGGGAAGTGAAGGTAAAGGATATGAGTTCTTCTCCCTTCAACCTGTCCAGGTAAGAAAAGTATCTCCTCATAACTCCTTTGGAATGGGCAATTGAAAAGGAAAATGAGTAAAAAGTTGCTTTGAAATCAAATTAACTTTTTACTTTCATTATATTGTTGTTTTTTCATTGAACTGTATCATTATAGTGGGGGGAGGGATGTTCTGCTCTTTCCATATAAATTCTTTCCGCACCTTAAATTGAGATTATTTGTAAGGAAAAATGATCAAGTTTTCTTTGAATACTAAAGTAGCCACTTGCAAATATGTTATTCTATTTCTTTTGAGGTGTGCTTGCATCACATATCTCTTGGGAAGTTTTACTGTTTTAGTATGTAACTATGCATACCATGAGTCATGCAGAGATGCACTTTTATTCTCTTATAAATATTGTTCTCTAATTAATAAATTTATTCATATTAAAGACTCTTTTACTTGAAAATACCATTTCCGAAAAAACATACTTCCTCCGTCCCAAAAAATTGTTCTCGGTTTTTCAAGTTTTCGATAAACTTTTTCGATAGAAAGCGTATTTTCCGAGTTTCCATGAGAAGAGTTCTCAATGTGGACTTATAAGCTACATGATCAAATCTACCCGTGATTATGTTATAGGACAAAAAAAACGGCACAACAAAAAATTATGAGACTAATATATAATTTTCTCCCTCGCCTCTTACTTTGCATCCAAATACACTGCTCTACTCTTTATTGATTGTTTAACTAATTGAGAAATACATATTCATCTTTATGTTGTTTGGAAACATAATTTAACTCCTTCCCTTTCGGAATACATACATATGTGTTTGACACTCAATTTAGAAAAATGGAAGAGGTTGTTATTTCTAACTCTAATACTCAAATATGAATGAAAAATTAGTACTTTTTCTGTCCCATTTCATAATTCTTTGTATACAACGAAATTTGAAAATGAAAATTATGTTATTATGTAAATATAGAAATTCAAACAAATCTAAGTTCACTATATGAAAAATGACGACAACCTTAAATTAGTACAAATGAAGTATCACTATGCAAAAAGTAAAAAAAAATGATAAAAGTAAAGTAAGAAAGTACGATAGTACGTAGTATAAAACTAGTGAAGTTTAAATTAGAAAACGAAATTCATCCATCCGTTCTTTTTTATTAGTCCTTCTTTTTTTTTAGACGTTTTTTTATTTGTCTCCTTTCCCTTTAAGGAAAATTTTTGAGAAAATACCCCCACTTTTATTACTTTTACCCCACTTACTTTTTACAAACTACTTTTTATTTCCTACTTTACCATCACTTTACTCTTCTTAAAACACTCTCTTTCCTACTTTATCATCACTTTACTCTTTTTAATATACCATCTTTCCTACTTTATCATCTACCCTACACACTCTATACTTACTCTACTACTTTATTATTAAATCTCGTGCCAAACCCTATGAGGACTAATAAAAAAGAACGGAGGAAGTATAAAGTAAATAAATTTGATTTACTAGATAATTTACAAAAGCATTAGATATCTATATATGCAACAATACTCCCTCCGTCCCTGAAAATTGTTCCCTGTTTCCTTTTTGGGCCGTCCCAAAAAATTGTTCCCCTTTTCCCTTTTGGAAAGTTTTTTGTGGCTACAATTCATTTACCTTTTTCTTACTCAACCACAACCATACATTTCCACTTTATTCTCACTTTCCTAAACTCCGTTCCAAGTCAATTCGGGAACAATTTTTCGGGACGGAGGGAGTAACTGCGTAGAAAATAGTGATAAAATAGTTGACCAAAAATTCAAAATGACGTAGTTTTAGGGGGTAGGAGGGAATATTTTATTAGAATCTCCTACCCTTTTCCCCTCCATTTGAATCAAATTGCACGGGTTGGTGAGTGTAGTCCAAGGGATGACCATCCACTTCCAAGTCTCTCCTTTGTAGAAGGTCTTGAATTCAATTCCCACCAAGGAAAGATGAGAGAGGTCTTGTTCCCAATGATTATGATTCTTCCTACCTTCACGCTCAAAGGTAATGTAAGTCCTACTGGATTCGTTCTTTTGAGTCGATACTGACAAGACTGGCTGTGATCAAATTCAAATTTAACTATTTAGGAGCTTTGAAAGCTAGTTGATAGACTCTAGGATTATGTGAGTGCATACTAGACACCTGAATTATAAAAAAAAATTGAATCAAATTAAGCAGCTGCACCTCTCTTTGTCCTTTAACGAAGTACTGTTCAAGTGATTGGCTCTTTCCTCAATCATCATCTCTCGTACACATTTCAAGCCCCCACTATCAAATTTCACGTTACTGTCCCACCCCTTCTTTCTGTCCTCTCCATCCATGGAAAGAATGGAGACGAATCAGCGGGTAGCTGAAATCTATTGTTCGAATGTTATGCATCGAAAAAGAAAGAAAAATGTGCAAGCAGGTACCACGTGGTCATACTTACCACAATTTTAATGATTTAAAATGCCGCCCTCTTTATATTTATGACTCCCACCAGTCACCGTCCTTCAATTCCCCAACCAAACCCCAACTAAATTCTTGCTACCAGACATATCCGAGGAAGAAACTGGGAAAGACTTGAGCTTGTTGACTTTCATATTCTGGTTCTTATCCATTCTTCCTCCAATCTTGGATCGGATTTCGGAATGATTTGCAAGTGAACTTTTTATAAAGCTTGGAGCTTTTTTGGCTTCTTAGGTGACTTACTGCAGCACCTTTCCACGCTTTTCACTTTAATGCTAATTTCGGTTCTTTTCTTTCCATTTCCCGTCCATTTATCGCGTTTTTCAATCTGGGTATCTTTTTTTCTTTTTCGTTTTAGTTTGATACTGTTGATGAACTTTGCAAATCAGTTTCTTGGGTTTTATGGTATGTTTGATGCTTCTGTTTCCCATCCAAACGTAACAAGTGCACTGATTTGGGATATCAGATTGACTCACTTTGTATGTATAAAATGAGTCATTGTTTGACTTAATTTATCCAACTCTTTCAAGGAAAAAATTGCAAATCTAGCATATATGCGTTTATACGGTAGACTGGTAGTTAGGTTGGCTCACAATTAAGTGCTTTCCCCCCAGTAATTAGCACAACTTCTCGTTGTTTTTTTCCAATTTTGGTTAAATATATAATTTTCAGTAATTCCTTTGTTTTGCTTTTTGTAAACTTTGGAGTCTGGCAATAAAAGTGGTCCTAATTCTTGTCTGGTTTATGTGATCTGTTTTGCATACGAGAATTCTTGCTAGATCAGCAAGTTGGAGTAGTTTTTTTTTTGCAACCCACATGTATTTACTATTTCATTCAATCACTGACTGTTTTTTTGGGTTTGGGGTTCAGGCAGTTCAACATGTCAGAAGCTCAGAGGAGGCCAAGTTTGCTTGGTGCCAAGAACAATAATGGGTATGTCAATGGAACATTTCCTTTGAGATCTCCAAACATGAAACCCGAAGTAGATGAGTTCTGTCATGCACTTGGTGGGAAGCGGCCAATACATAGTATATTAGTTGCCAACAATGGGATGGCTGCAGTGAAGTTTATTCGAAGTGTTAGGACATGGGCTTATGAGACATTTGGTTCAGAGAAGGCAATATTGTTAGTAGGAATGGCCACACCAGAGGATATGAGAATAAATGCTGAGCATATTCGTATAGCCGATCAATTTGTAGAGGTTCCTGGGGGAACAAACAATAATAACTATGCTAATGTGCAGCTCATTGTCGAGGTCTGTGAATGTCTTTTAAATATTTTTTAATAGCTTTCTGTTTCCATTTCTGTTAGTTCATTATTATTGTTACGGGGAATTATAAGCTATAATTAGCGCCCACCTTTCAGTTTTTGGATGTATAATGAACAAAAAACCTACTCTTTATGATGTAGGTTGCATATGAACTAAAACTTAGTCATACTTATTTATAATGCTATTTTTGAAAACTGCCAACAAAAAACTGGAAGTTGTCTTTTCTGGTAATCTTGTTTCTAATATTTTGTGTTTTTGGGTGTTTTTGCAGATGGCGGAAATAACACATGTTGATGCTGTTTGGCCTGGGTGGGGCCATGCATCGGAAAACCCTGAATTACCAGAGGCATTAGATGCAAGGGGAATTGTATTTCTTGGGCCACCTGGCACGTCAATGGCAGCACTTGGTGATAAAATTGGTTCTTCATTGATTGCTCAAGCAGCAGATGTACCCACCCTTCCATGGAGTGGCTCCCATGTAAAGTTTCTTTGCCAACATTTTATGAGCTCTTGGATAAACCATAATCTTTAATTATCTCAAAACAGTAAAACTTAATGTTGCAGATCAAAATTCCACAAGAAAGCTGTTTGGTATCTATCCCTAATGAAATATATACAAAGGCGTGTGTATATACAACTGAAGAAGCAATTGCCAGTTGCCAAGTTGTTGGTTATCCCGCGATGATCAAAGCATCTTGGGGCGGCGGTGGTAAAGGCATAAGGAAGGTTTGAGATTTATCTCCTGTTTCAGTAGATGATTTGACATAGGCTATGTTTGGAACCTGGTATATGGTAGGTATAGGAAAAAAGAATGTGTGCGAAAGTATTTTCTTAATGCTGGTTGTACTCTGGAAGATGCTAAGGAAAGTCAAGTTTGATTAAAAATTTATTTTTTTAACATATTTATATTATTAAATCTTTATGATGGGAATATTTTTAATTTTATTTTCCCCTATTTTCATTAACTAGAATTTTCTATGTTCCAAACAGACCCCTAAGTTATAGGTTACACACAATGGAAATTTTAAATTCTTGGTGGTACTTGAAATGATAGGTTCATAATGATGATGAGGTTAGAGCTTTGTTCAAGCAAGTTCAGGGTGAAGTTCCTGGTTCCCCAATATTCATAATGAAGGTTGCTTCCCAGGTTAGCCCACCCCCTTCCATATACCTCTCCCTTATGAGTGTTTTGTTATAAATCCAAGTCAAAGAACTAAGGTGCCCCTTTTTCAAATGAACAGAGTCGACATCTAGAAGTGCAGTTGCTCTGTGATCAGCATGGTAATGTTGCCGCTTTGCATAGCCGTGATTGTAGTGTCCAAAGGCGACACCAAAAGGTTTGTCTGATCTTTTTCTTGCAGTTGTTCTGATTTTCTTTGGTAATCGGGTACGACCTGCGTCCCAAAATAGAGCCTTATTTCACCAAGGTACAACTTTTTTAACTTTAGGAAGGGACAACTTTTTGAAATCATCAGTTCTAGCTATATCCTGATTCCGTTTTTAAAATGTAATATACCTAGCTTGTTTGGGACATATTTGCTTTGAAAAAATGCAATAATTATAATGTACTTTAGTTTTTTTTGTTCGAAATTGACTTTCATCCCAATAAAGTTTTCAAACTGAACTTATTCTTTATAATTGTTTCGGGGGACAATGGGAGGTTTATGAGAATAAAATTAGCAGCAACACTTAAATATATATGTATATATATCATTATTAATATATATATATATATATATATATATATACACACGTCTTTTCATGTATATTAGATTATTGAGGAGGGGCCAATAACTGTTGCTCCCATAGAGACTGTGAAAAAGCTTGAGCAGGCTGCTAGAAGATTAGCAAAAAGCGTCAATTATGTTGGAGCTGCCACTGTCGAATATCTCTATAGCATGGAGACTGGGGAGTATTATTTTTTGGAGCTCAACCCGCGGTTGCAGGTATGTGGACTTAACTTTATGATAACTCTATGTCAATCAGAGACATTAGACGTTTTCTATAAATTTGTTTTATTGTTATGGTGATTTAGGTGGAACACCCTGTAACAGAATGGATAGCTGAAATCAACCTTCCAGCAGCCCAAGTTTGTGTTGGAATGGGCATTCCTCTCTGGCAGATTCCAGGTTTCATGCAAGATCATCTGAAAGTTCTCACAAATATGGTTTTTTCTTCTTTGTTATTGATATAACTTGTCTGTACATTGTGTTAGAAATAAGGCGTTTCTATGGAATAGAACACGGTGGTGGATATGATGCATGGAGGAGAACGTCACTTGTTGCCTCTCCATTTGATTTTGACAAAGCAGAGTCTATAAGGCCAAAAGGTCATTGTGTTGCTGTCCGTGTAACAAGTGAGGATCCCGATGATGGTTTTAAGCCTACTAGTGGCAAAGTGCAGGTTGGTATGATTTTGATTTTTTATCACTTTGGTTGATCGGAATTATTTTATCATAAAAATTGTGGCCCTTATGGTTGATCGAAATTATTTGAATGATTTTATACAGGAACTGAGTTTTAAAAGCAAACCAAATGTATGGGCATACTTTTCTGTTAAGGTAATAGTTTATTCCTTGATACTTATTGTGAAATATTCACACTTCGCATTTTATATTGAAATGTTGGTATGGATTAAGCAATTGTCAATGAATGCAGTCTGGTGGGGGTATTCATGAATTCTCAGATTCTCAGTTTGGTATGTTCTTCTAATCCTTTTGAAATCTCAATACTCTCGGGCTCTCAACATACTCCATTATAATGTAACACGCTGCAAATCATTTACATTTTAGCTGGATTACATGACTTTTTGGCTGTTTTGTAGCCACTCTTTTGAATACTGGTCTGATGAGTTAGACTGTTTACCAAGTACTAGTACTAATTTATTTGACTATGCATACTGTAATGGGCTGAATGTACTTTCTTACCGAAGTTGTTGAAAATGATCATTTTAGTTCTTTTGATATTTTTTTCTTTATTCTATCAATGAAACAAGTTTTAAATAAATCAAACTCTCATAATAGCCACAATTTCAGCTAAACTCACTTTGCCAAATGGGCCTTTTATGCTTGATATGAGCCTGTAGGAATAATTGATCAAGTGCCTTGTTTGTGCTCTCTAACTGGTTGTGGATTCCGGTTACATCAGGGCATGTTTTCGCTTTTGGGGAGTCGAGAGCCGTGGCCATTGCCAACATGGTACTTGGCCTAAAGGAAATTCAGATAAGAGGAGAGATCCACACAAATGTGGATTACACTATTGATCTACTACATGTAGGTGCTCCATTTAAGTACAATTATCAATTTAAAATTTCGTGTCATTCATTGAATTTATTAAAACTCTGCAGGCTTCAGATTATAGGGATAACAAGATACACACAGGCTGGCTGGACAGTAGAATTGCTATGAGGGTTAGAGCAGAAAGACCGCCTTGGTATCTTTCTGTGGTTGGAGGAGCACTATATGTGAGAAACTTTCACTTCTCAAATATTTAACTTGCAAACAATTACTCTTAGCTTGCTATATTTTATACCCCAAACCTTCATTTTCCCTCGTTTATCAAAGTGCAGAAAGCTTCTGCAAGCAGTGCTGCCACAGTTTCAGAATATGTTGGTTATCTCGAAAAAGGACAAATTCCACCTAAGGTACCATAATAAACTCTAGACCTAGAGCTGCTTGGGTAATGCCTGTAATGGTTAAGGTGGCTGAGTTTGCTAAAATTGTGACAAATTTGATTGAGTTGTTTAAATATTATTTGAAATATTTATTAAAAAGATAAAACTTTTATAGAGAGTACTCCCTAATATCTAAATCTGAAGAATGAAGTGCTACCATTTTCAATAATTTCAGCTAAAAAGTAGACTGAGTGTTGGATAAAACATTGTGTGATAAGGCTGACAGCCTGAAGATGCCTACCAAACAGGCACTGAGATGAAAATGAGCCATTGTTTTGCGCTTTTTCTATTATTGATCAACAATAATCTCCCTGCAGCATATCTCACTCGTGAACTCTCAAGTTTCACTAAACATTGAAGGGATAAAGTATACAGTATGTAGTCTATCTCTTATCTAATACGACATCTTATTGTCCATCCTAGCCAGTTAACTATCTCTCTAATGTTTTATATCTGTTGTTCAATTTGTGTTTTCTTAGATTAACATGGTGAGGGGAGGACCTGGAAGCTATAGGTTAAGGTTGAACGAATCAGAGATTGAATCAGAAATACACACTCTTCGTGATGGAGGCCTATTGATGCAGGCAAGCAAATCATTCTTTTTCTACATCTTCAATTCGAGTTCTCTGTCAATTGGAATTAAATTTGAGTACTCTTATGAGTTATGAGAGTTATAGTTGCTTACGCTGAGTTTCCACAGTTGAATGGAAACAGTCACATTATTTACGCAGAGGAAGAGGCAGCCGGGACCCGTATTCTCATTGATGGCAGGACATGCTTACTTCAGGTGCTCTGGAGTTTTATTTTCCCACTTTGAATGCTTTTTTATCATCAAACTTTTGTCCTCGTATCCTTTTGGCGATCAAAACTAACATTTCAGTCTCAAAACTTTATAGTTCATGTCATTTAGATCATTCTGTTTAGTTTTTCATACATTTTACTGTTCAATTCTACATGGGTTGCTATTAGCCACATGGTATCGCACATTTGACTTTGTATTACTGAAATGTATTTGTTTTTTTAATGAAATGTATTTAAATTTACTAATTATTTATAACTTATTAACAGGTTTTTGTAATAGTCTCATTTATATTGGCGCATATGTTTTTTTCTCAAAAATTATACATAGTATATACCTAAAATCTATGTTGTAATTAAAATAATATTTTAATAAAATTGATTAGTTATTGCAAACTATAATTACAAATTAATATTTTGAAAAACATTACTTGCATAAGTTGCATTCTAAGTAGTATGAACTACACTGCTTTTATATGCTGAAATCTGATAACTAATCGTTATTTGGTCCAGAATGATCATGATCCATCCAAGCTCATAGCAGAGACTCCATGCAAGCTTCTTAGGTATTTGGCTATGGATGGTAGTCATATAGATGCCAATACACCATATGCAGAGGTGGAGGTTATGAAGATGTGCATGCCCCTGCTTTCCCCTGCTTCAGGGGTGATCCATTTCCGGATGTCAGAAGGTCAAGCAATGCAGGTCAAACCTACTAAGCACTATTTCTGATGTCCCCGCGAATTGGGTGCAAATCTGAATCTAATGGTTTTCTTATTTATAGGCCTCTGAGCTTATAGCAACACTTGATCTAGATGATCCTTCTGCTGTAAGAAAAGCAGAGCCATTTACTGGGAGCTTTCCCATCCTGGGACCCCCAACTGCAATTTCTGGTAAAGTTCATCAGAGGTGTGCTGCAAGTATGAATGCAGCTCGGATGATTTTGGCTGGATATGAGCATGCTGTGGATGAAGTATGTTGTTGTTCTGATTACACTGTTTAATTAATTATTCCCTCCGTCCCTTATAACTTTGCCATTTTTCCTATTTCGGTTATCACAAAAAATTTGCCACTTTCCATTTTAATCAATTAATTTTTGGTTCATGTTACTTCTCTCTCCTCGACCCAAATCTCATCCACAAAGTTGTTATCTAATGCTTAATATTTAACTTGGAAAATCAAATACGACTATTTGTTTAACTTTTTACTTTTTTATATCTCAGTCTTCTTGTTATAACAGACAAATAAATTAATGGGTATAAACCAAAAATTAAACTAAATTCATTGTGATTTAGCCTCTTTTTTTGCCCTCGGATTTTCTTCTTCGTTTTACTTCCCAGTATTTTCTAGGATCTAAAAGGCCCTTAGAGTTTCTCTTCGAAAATAGTCAAAATTGATCTTTGATCAAAATTTAGCTTTTCAAGGTATAATGAGAAGCTTTCCTTTAAAAAAGCATGTGTGTGTATATAATATAAATCTTGATTTCCAGGTAGTGCAGAGCTTGCTAAGTTGCTTGGACAGTCCTGAGCTTCCCTTTTTTCAGTGGCAAGAGTGTATGGCTGTTCTGGCAACACGGCTTCCCAAGGACCTCAGATCCAAGGTATTCAATGCCCTTGCTGATAATTTTGAACCTTGTTTTCTGAAACCATGTTTTAATCTTTTAAGCATGGTTATATGCAATTCCTTTTGACAGCTGGAAGCAAAATACAAGGAGTATGAAGGGTTTTCAAACTTTCAAAACATCGACTTCCCAGCCAAAATTTTGCGGAGCATTCTTGAGGTATATTTAATTTGGCTTTCTCATTACCCACACTGACGTTTTTAATTGTTTCTCAAAGGCAATTTTTTTTCCTCCAGGAACACCTGAATTCTTGCCTGGAAAAAGAAAAAGGAGCTCAAGAAAGACTAGTTGAACCACTAATGAGTCTTGCAAAATCTTATGAAGGGGGAAGAGAGAGTCACGCTCATGTTATTGTTCAGTCCCTTTTCCAAGAATACCTTTCTGTTGAAGAATTGTTCAGTGACAACATCCAAGCTGATGTTATTGAACGTCTCCGGCTTGAGTATAAGAAAGATCTCCTCAGGGTTGTGGATATTGTACTTTCCCATCAGGTATAGTACCCCTTTTTTCAGTGCTTATTATTTGTATTTTATTTTCAGCTATGTTGAGAACTAAGTATGCAATCAATGCCATTGATTTTGCAGGGTGTAAATCGTAAAAACAAACTCGTATTAAGTCTAATGGAGCAACTGGTGTATCCTAGTCCCGCAGCATACCGTGACCAGCTAATTCGCTTCTCTTCACTTAATCATATAATGTATTCCGAGGTTAGAAGCCTTTTCTACATTTGATGCTAATATATGCCTTAATTTCATTTGTTTCATTCGTTCCCTAATCATACCCTATCGGGTCTCTGCTCGTGCTTGTGATTGGTCAACTATTTGATCATTTTATATTCCCCAGTAGTATATAAAGATCATGTAATAAGATGTTTGTCCTGTAAGGTTGCTTCACTTTCAAGTTTAGGTTCCATTTCTTTACAAGAAAAATCGAAATGTTTTCTGATTTTCATGTGTTGGTCCTGGAGTGCTTTATATTGGCACCAGAAATTATTTTCCTCTGGGTTCTGGATCTTTCTAGGGAAAAAGGATAGGAAAGGAATATAGAGGAAAATTAGAGGGATAGGAAATGCCAGAGAAAATAACTTGTACACTAAAATAAATAATATTTAAAATGATTTATTTTAAATATCTTTTTGATACAGCTGTGCCTTTTGATTGATAAATAGAAATTGAAGTAAACCAATTTGGCTGTGTTGTACAGTTGGCTCTAAAAGCAAGTCAGCTTCTGGAGCAAACAAAACTGAGTGAACTGCGTTCTAGCATTGCAAGAAGTCTTTCTGAGTTAGAAATGTTCACCGAAGAAGGTGAAACTATGGACACTCCCAAGAGGAAAAGTGCCATAAATGAAAGAATGGAAGCTCTAGTTAGTGCCCCTTTGGCAGTTGAAGATGCACTTGTAGGTCTGTTTGATCACAGTGATCATACCCTCCAGAGAAGGGTCGTGGAGACATATGTTCGCAGACTCTACCAGGTACTCATTACCAATCCATATTCTTTAATGAGACTTTCAATTCAGATGATTCTTAATTAATTATTATCAATTCTCGTTTTTCAGCCCTATCTAGTCAAGGGGAGTGTTAGGATGCAGTGGGACAGATCTGGTGGATTGATAGCTTCATGGGAGTTCTTGGAAGAGCACATGGAGAGGGAAAGTGGAGTTGAAGGTGAAATGACAATTAAACCTATGGTGGAGAAGCATAGTGAGAGAAAATGGGGAGCCATGGTGATCATCAAATCTCTCCAGATATTGCCAAAAGTGCTAACAGCTGCTCTGAAGGAGACAATGAACACCATCCAGACTACAGGGTCAGATGGATCACTTCAGCAGGCTGGTCATCATGGTAATATGATGCATATTGCTTTAGCGGGCATTAACAACCAAATGAGTACACTCCAGGACAGGTATTTCATGTACCATGATGCATGTTTATTGCCATTTTGATGCATGTTGGCTATCTTGTTCCTATCCTAGTTCTATCTTAAGACAGCCATACATTAAGCAAGTCCCTAGAAACCATAAAGCTTTTGTACTTTTAGGTACATCGTAGTAGCCCTCTAGTGTCTTTTTTCCTTTTTTTCTTCTGTAAGATATATTCCATTTGATTTTCATAAGGCTCAAAGGGTCAAGTTTGGCTTATTTGGCTGGATTATTTTCATACATGAGTTACTGTGAAAAAATAAGGGTTAAAGTGTCATTTTATTTTATTTCATTCAAAAAAGTAACTCATGTATTACTTTGCTGTTTTCTTTATGGCCAGTTCAGCCTACACAGTTAAATAAGTTAGTATTTTGTAGAAGATCTGATCAGAACACTATCCTACCAAACAAGCACCTAATCATTCAGTTTTTGTTCTTTTCAACTTGAATGATGATTTTCCTAATATATTTTTTATCATTCCTATTCACTGTAGTGGCGATGAGGATCAGGCCCAAGAAAGGGTTGACAAGTTGGCAAAAATATTGAAAGAGAGAGATATAAGCTCCAGCCTTAGAAATGCCGGGGTAGGCGTAATAAGCTGTATCATTCAAAGGGACGAGGGGCGGGGCCCTATGAGGCACTCTTTCCATTGGACTGAAGAGAAGCACTACTACCAGGAGGAACCTCTTTTACGTCACCTCGAGCCTCCTCTTTCAATTTACCTTGAATTGGTTAGTTATTTACCTACATCATCTTTTCTCTTCATTTTCTTTGTGATTGACTGATTACAGTCTTAATAATAAAAATTTCATTTCCTACACAGGATAAGCTCAAGGGCTATGATAATATCAAGTATGCACAGTCTAGGGATCGTCAGTGGCACTTGTACACGGTTATAGATAAGCCTCGCCAAATCCAGAGGATGTTTCTCAGGACTCTTGTCCGACAACCCATATCTGATGAGTGTTTAACTGTGTATCATGGGATAGGACGTGAAAAAAATCACGCCCCACTGGCAATATCTTATACTTCAAGGAGCATTTTGAGGTCTTTAACATCTGCACTTGAAGAGCTTGAGCTTAATGTCCACAATTCAAAGGTCAAATCTGACCATGCGAATATGTACCTATATATTTTAAGGGAGCAACAAATTGAAGATCTTTTGCCATACAACAAGTATGAAGGCACTTTACGTGTTAAATAGTTAATACCTTTAATTTATTTTATATTACGTATGTTCATTTTTAAAACGTTGTGGTGCATGTACTTCCAGGAGACCCGATGTGTATGAAGGTGATGAAGAAGCTGTTGTAGACCAGATTTTAAATGAAATGGCAAATGAAATCAATGCTTCTGTTGGGGTTAAAATGCACCGGTTAGGTGTGTTTGAATGGGAAGTGAAACTTTGGATATCATCAGCTGGAGAAGCCAATGGTGCTTGGAGAGTTGTGGTCGTGAATGTGACTGGCCACACCTGCATTGTCAATGTAAGTGATTTATTTTTTGAAATTCTATAAATCATTGATTGAGTACCCATTCAACAAAAATGATTATTAGGATGTTTTTACTTGGACTGTAATCCGTCCCAAACCAGACCAGACTTGGATAGTTATAAAAATACAAAGAGACCAGACATTACCAGACCAGTTCAAACCAGAACAGACCAGACCAGCAAATTACAGTCCAAGTAAAAACATCCTTACTAGTAGACTAAAAATGATTCATGGGGTTAGCGTAAAAATGTTGCACCGATGGTCAATTGGCCATGGCCAATTACTGAGGCAGTCACCAATAGACTGGTTAGTGACTGTTGGCAACTGCTTTGTAACATTGTTGTCATCTGAGTTTTACTTGGTAAGATTTAAGAAAAATCCCTTATTAATTTATTATTATGATATAAAGCTCTTGGTGATTTAAACTATATGGATTCTTTCATACAACAACAACAACATCCAAGCCTTATATGGATTCTTCCATATTTATATAATATCATTATCAATTACACTCAGATATACCGTGAGATTGAAGATTCAAACAAACACAGAGTAGTCTATCACTCAACAAGGGAGATGGGTCCTCTGCATGGTGTTCCAGTTACTGCACATTATCAGCCTCTGGGAATTCTTGATCAGAAACGACTCTTGGCCCGTAAAAGCAGCACAACCTACTGCTACGATTTCCCCCTGGTAAATCCTAACAAACCTGTATCTAAAACATGCGTTACTTTTAAGGATGTGATCAATCTCAACTCAAAGTTTAAGCTAGTAGCTTGAGTTCATATTTATATTTTATACACATTATTATTATTAGTAGTACTATTATTATTATTATTATTATTTATTATTATTATCATTACTATAACTATTACTCCCTCCGTATTTTAAATTTTACTACACTTTTCATTTTGGGATGCATTTAAAAGTTTGCTACACGGTCCCCTTTTGGTAAGTTTTCCCTTTAAAATACTCAATTACCCTTAATTTTCTACTTTTTATTTTCTTTTTCATACTTTTACACCCTCTCTCCTACTTTTCTACAGTATTCATTACCCCTACTACTTTCCTTCTTAAATAATGTGCCGAAGCTATATGAAGCAATCATTAAAATGTGGAGGGATTATTACTACTATTATTATTATTTTATTATTATTATTTGATCGACCAAATACCACCTGTAACATTTTTTAAAGTATTGTGACCCGTTTAATTTCAAACCCAAGACCTTTTGATGCCATGTCTAGACTAGTAGACTAAAAGCTTCAGCTGGTAGTTGGATTTCACGGGGTTAATTATCTTATTAGTATTATGATTTTTTTCAATAAAAGATAACTCATGGACACAAATATGGATGACTCTGTTTTATTATGTGTGTCATCTGAGTTCTATGATTGTGAATACCCGTTTCTTGTTTCACTCTTTATATTCTCTGAATTCAATAGAAATTGTGATTGGATCTATTCCTTGATAAGAACTGATGCAATAGATTTCTTAGGTATACACGGGCACCATATTGCCATATTGCTTTTGAACCAGATTTGAATCAATTTATACCGATTGCCATATTGCCATCATTTTTTGCTCTATGCCTACCAACCCATTTTGCGATAGTTCCAGAAGCAGCTTGTCCAATTCACTGAAAAATAGTTATTCTCCTGATAAAGAAAAAGAATAAGGTGAAAGAACCTTAAAGATTAATTTTTCGGTTCAGGTGATAAAGTTGAGCATTACTGGTAACTATACCCACTACATGTTAAAAATCACATTTTGTTTATCACTTTAATAATTTTATTTTAGTCATATAATTTTAAGTATTCATATTATTGTATCTCAAACAATTACTAATATGAAATCATCATCTTTCATAGGCTTTTGAAGTAGCATTGCAGAAGTCTTGGGCAGCTACTCAATCTCAAGGAATTAACAAGCCTAATGGAAATCCACTAGTCAAAGTCACCGAGCTTGCTTTTGCAGACGCAAAGGGTTCTTGGGGTACTGCTCTTATTCCAGTGGAACGCAAGCCAGGGCTCAATGATGTTGGTATGGTGGCCTGGATCTTTGAAATGTCCACACCTGAGTTCCCTTATGGAAGGAAAGTCATCATAGTTGCAAACGATGTCACCTTCAAAAATGGATCTTTTGGTCCAAGGGAAGATGCATTTTTCCTAGCCGTGACTGATCTAGCTTGCGCTCAGAAACTGCCCCTTATCTATCTTGCAGCCAATGCTGGAGCTAGGATAGGTGCAGCCGAGGAAGTGAAGTCTTGCTTTAAAGTTGGATGGTCTGATGAATCTAACCCTGAACGCGGTATTCATTATTTGTACTTGACCCCTGAGGATCATGCATGCTTGGGCTCATCAGTCATATCACATGAACTGAAAATGCCAAGCGGAGAAACCCGATGGGTGATAGATACAATTATAGGAAAAGAGGATGGATTGGGCGTTGAAAACTTAAGTGGGAGTGGGGCCATAGCCAGTGCATATTCACGGGCTTACCATGAAACCTTCACTCTAACATATGTAACGGGTCGAACCGTCGGCATTGGGGCCTATCTTGCCCGGCTCGGCATGCGTTGTATACAACGGCTTGACCAACCCATAATTCTCACGGGTTTCTCTGCACTGAACAAACTCTTGGGCCGGGAAGTTTACAGCTCACACATGCAACTCGGTGGCCCTAAAATTATGGCAACCAATGGAGTGGTTCATCTTACTGTTTCTGATGATCTGGAAGGCGTTTCTGCAATCATGAAATGGTTGAGCTTTGTCCCGCCGTATTCTGGCGGCCCACTCCCTGTTTCTATAATCACAGATCCTCCCGAGAGACCCGTCAAGTATTTCCCTGAGACAACCTGTGACCCACGGGCTGCCATATGTGGGGTCAAGGATGCCGCAAGTGGGAGATGGATGGGAGGGATGTTTGATAAAGATAGTTTCGTGGAGACCTTGGAAGGGTGGGCGAGAACGGTCGTGACGGGTCGGGCAAAGCTGGGAGGGATACCAGTGGGTATAGTCGCCGTTGAAACGCAAACGATGATGCAAGTCATCCCGGCAGATCCGGGTCAGCCTGACTCCCATGAACGGGTCGTTCCCCAGGCTGGTCAAGTTTGGTTTCCCGACTCAGCAACCAAAACAGCCCAAGCATTGATGGATTTCAACAGAGAAGAGCTCCCGCTTTTCATCCTGGCCAACTGGAGGGGATTTTCTGGGGGACAGCGGGATCTATTTGAGGGCATCCTTCAAGCCGGCTCGACTATTGTGGAGAATCTTAGGACGTACAAGCAACCCGTTTTTGTGTACATCCCCATGATGGGAGAGCTCCGGGGTGGAGCATGGGTGGTTGTGGATAGTAAGATCAATTCTGATCACATTGAGATGTACGCCGAAACAACTGCTAACGGAAATGTTCTGGAGCCACAAGGTATGATTGAGATCAAGTTTAGAACAAGAGAACTGGTGGAGTGCATGGGTAGGCTTGACCAGCAACTCATTGATTTGAGGCGGAAGCTTTCAGAAGCAACAACAGGTGATGCTGCTGCAAAAGTTCAGCAGCAGATAAGATCACGCGAGAAGCTTCTTCTGCCAATATACACTCAGATTGCTACCAAGTTTGCAGAATTGCATGACACGTCATTGAGGATGGCTGCAAAAGGGGTGATCAGAGAGGTTGTTGATTGGGAGGGTTCTCGTTTTTTCTTCTATAAAAGATTGCTTCGAAGAATCGAGGAAGATTCATTGGTCAAGACAGTGAAGGACGCGGGAGGTGATCTGGTTTCTGATCAATCTGCTATTGAGATGGTGAAGAAGTGGTTTTTGGATGGTAAAGTAATTACCACACAGAGCAAAGGAGATGCTTGGGCAGACGATGAAGCCTTCTATTCCTGGAAGCGAGACACTAGTAACTATGAAGACAAGTTGCAGGAATTGCGGGCGCAAAAGGTCATGGCCCACTTGTCTAAGATTGGCAATTCGGTGTTAGATGCGCGCGCTATACCTCAAGGCATTGCTGCACTTCTTCAAAAGGTAATTATTATTATTATTTTTGGTACTGTGTATTTTTGCAATTGTGAAAATCAGAAAGGAGCTGGCATAGTAGTGTTCTTTGCTTTCATTTTTTTTAAAAACTCTGAATTTTTTGGCAACGTGAATTCATGTATTCATTGCTTTATGTTTTGTCATTGTTGGTTAAAAGTAGTTTTTTTTTTTTTAAATCATAAAAAGAGACTTAGCCAACATGTTCATATATATTGAAAATTTTGAAAACAAAAGATGAGAAAAACTTAAACAGGGAGTATTACCAAATGAATCCCTAAGTTGTTTACCGAAAACTTAAACAGGGAGAAAAACTTAAATGTTTTATTATTACCAGTATGGTACTTTCATTTCAATTAATTTGGATTTTCAAATGCGACTTACTTACATTGGGATTTAACTGTGCAGATGGAGCCATCAACTAGAGAGCAATTGATAGTTGAACTACAAAAGGTCCTCAAATGATAAAGCAGCTTTTGAGAGCTACAAGATATAATGCACTCTAAAGCTGCTCAGATACACATACAGTTAGACTGATCATTGAATCTCTACTTTGGCGTGTGGGAGTGTATTTCAGAGAAAGAATAGGGAAGGGACATTTCATACGTAGTGTCCAAGTCATTACTGTAGTTAAATTACATTCTTTTATGTTGTAATACAACGATGATTGATTGATGAGGGTTCTATGCCTGTTTCTTTACATCATTCAAGTCCAAAATTCTTGTTAAAGCTTAATAAAGTGTTTTGGTATTCCTTAAATGTGCTGAACTGCCATACTATCTAAAGCTTAATCGGTTCAAATGATCGAATGTATTAGACTATTAGTTCAGCAAAGTCAGTCGTTGCAAATCTGGACATTTATCAATATTATACGTTTTTTTGGGTGAATCATGACTACACCAAAGCACCAAACTAGGACTAGGAGTGGAAAACCCATAGATCCTGAATATGAATTATGGACTTCGTGTCGATGTGCATGGTCAGAACTCAGAAACCACAGCTGTGGTGGTGCTCATGGACTCACGGTGACGACTGGAAAGCTAGTTGTTGTTTCTTCTCGAAAATTGAGCCATCATCGCAATCTTCACATGAAGCAGCTACATGGATGTTGTTTGCCTAGTAGTTCCATGGTGTTAATCTTGGGTGTTACATACCATCCTCTCATTTTGCAATTCTGCTGAGGTAATAATCAAAGACGCAAGACGGTAGGAAAGAAGGTGGAATATATAGAAGGTTAAGGACCCTTCGCTATAATCCTGAGTTTGTTTTGGTATTTAGAGAAAATATATGAAGCATGCCAATGTGATCATTACAGAGCACGTTGGTGTGATGAATGGTTAGGATTCATTCATTTAAATATCTGGAGAATTCTGATCATTCATCACGCCAACGTGCTCTTTAGTAAGCATGTTCGCGTGTACCATATATTTTCTCGCGATATTTGGGTGTGACAATGAGTTTAGTAATTAGAACTATGAAGTAAATACAATAATAAACATTATATTCATTAACTTGTTTAAATAAAAATTGAGTTGAAGTATAAAAGAAAATATCATACAATAAAAATTATCAAGGTCAAAGAATAAGTCAACCAAAGTCACATCACTAAAGTTATCAAGCTGTGGCAGGAAAGTAAGAGGAGAAGCTTTCAACATCAGCAATCTCAACAAGAATTGATGGATACCAGTCTTGCAATGAGTTCACTTTGTTTTAGTACAAAAATTCAAGGTACTTACCTCACAACTGAAACAAAGTCTAAAAGGGTAATTTGGATCATACTCTCATAAGTAAAGACAATTGTGAAGAGCTGCTTTTTTTTTAAAATCAAACTCATATGTGGGAGTGACTAATATGAAAGAGCTGTTTTTTTTAATCAAATTCAAATATCGCCAACTATTTTTTCTTTGCTTAATAGTTGCCATTAAATACGTATGAAATGTTTACCTTCATACGCTATGGATATTTTCTTTTGGACTGTTTTCAGTTCCAAACCAAACCAGACTTGACTTCCGTAGTTATAAAATACACAGCGACCAGACGTTTATCAGATCTGACCAGACCAGTTCAGACCAGACGAGCAAGTTTTAATCCAAAAGAAAACATTCTATGTATGAGAGAGACTAGTAGTGGAGCCTCACGAAAAGAGTTCTTTATCTTTTCAAATCCAACGTCTAAGTGAAACTTAGGGGCTGTTTACTTTTTTTTTTCATTAAGTCCTGAATGAATTAAGACGTCTGTCTGGATTAAGCTGTCTGTCTGGATTAAGTGCCACTGAAATAAGAAACTGTTTACTAAGTGTACTGAATGAAAAGTCTGAATCATGTCAAATGACCAAATAACCCTCTTATCTATATATATTGTTTGTTGACTTTCCTTGTCCAAGATAATTTGGCATTGAATTTCTATAATTTCTGAAGGTAGAAATAACAATTAATTATTAAAAAAGTTGCAAAAATGTAAAATCAAAGACCTATATTTTTTAAACAAACTTGGGAGTTCGTCTATGATTTCTTCCATTCCAATAAAATTGAGGACGTGTTTTTATATGGTTTAACTTGAATACAACCCGTGTAATGTAAAATTGGTAAGCAGGTGGATTGTCTGGGAGATCCCTCTTGGTTCATAAACGACGGACAAATATCATGTTTTTAGCAGAGCATGTATGAAAGTTAAAAATAAATAAATAATTACAAAAGTAATCTAGACATTCTAGAGAAATATCCAATAGTGAAGGTGTACATCTCCAAGTTACGAATATGTTTCCTAAGAAGATGAACGGCCTTGGCAGTTCGCAGAGCTCTATTTTATTCATCGATGGAGAACTCGTTTTGCAGAGTTGGAGAAAAGAAACTATTAGCTAGGGTTAAAAGAGAGAAATTAGTCTCTTCCGTGTCTGAAGTGTTGTCTGAAGCCGAAAGAGTGCCTTTTTCTTGCTGAACGAATAAGTCGACATTTCACTGAGCGAATAAGTCATCTATTTGATTCAGTTCTAAGTAAACACAACTTTATGAATGAATGGTTAAGTCATCAACTCCATTAAGTCCATTAAGTCCTAAGTAAACACCCCCTTAGTGACCCTTGGATAGCTCGTTTTAGTTTATAAGTCAATTTTTATTACAAATTAAGTTTTTATTTTATTTTAGATGCCCTAATTGATTAATAATCTAAATGAATAAGACTACTTAACTAATTTTATAGTTTTTATAGTTTTTAATCTGTCTAACGTTTTCTTTATTTCATTAATAAATAAATGTTTATTCTGTAGAATTTTAATGGAGTTTAGAATTCAATCAGAATTCAGGTGTCCCCGATTTGAATTTCAGTGGAATCTATAAAAATAATGGTGTTCTCAAACATTCCATGGATTTCTATTGTTACTTATTTGAATGGATTGTGATGGATTTCTACGTACAAAAACATTCCACCACAAATCTTGTAGAATCCCTCAATTTTAAAAATTCATGATCTTTTAAAATCCATCCAAATCCTAGTTGGGGATACCCCCTAAATTTTTAAGTAGACCAAATAAACACAAATTTATACTTTTTGAATCCAGTTCAGCCACCCTTTAACGTCTCCCTTAGATATGATGACCCTTCCTTGTCGTTAAACAACACATACCTAATGTATGAAAACTAAGTTCTGTGGGTAGACTTCTGTTTGAGGCATGGTAGCCTTCTGTTTGAGCGGCGAACTCGGATAAAATTAAGGGCATGTTTGGCACAACTAGCTGAAAAGATACTTTTCTGAGCTTTTTAATAGCTGTTAGCTTTGAGTGACTGAAAAGATCTTAAAAATAAAAGGTGGTAGCTGTTTGATGAAAAGCTGATTGTTTGATTTAGTTCGGTTTGGTATACAAGTTGTTAGGATTAATTAATACTAAAAGTCACTAGCTTTTCTTATATGCTACTCCCGGTAGCATATCAAAAAAGATCTTTTAATTTTTGAAAAGCTCTCTTAAATATTGTCATGCCAAACACACAACTAGAAGCTTTTAGGAACTTTTTGAACAGTACAAAAGCTAGAAGTCAGGGACTTATGCCCGCTAAACATAGCCTAAGAAGGGGGTCTATGGTAGCTTTCTGCTGGAGGATGAAGAATCGTAGGGCTGCTGTTGAGATCAATTTATGAAGATGAGTGCCGTTTAGTGCACTTGAGAGTAGAAGAGCCCAATCGACTAGTTCCGATTTCTAATGGGGGGATTGGGAGCAAGCAGTGATGAGGGGAAGTCCATAACTAATCTCTTCCGGTGGTGCTTTCTAGCGGCATCGGAAGGAACAAAATAACGGAGCAGTTAAAGCGGCTGAAATGGAATCAAAAGGTTTAAATTTGTGTTTATTGGGTCTACTTAAAGCTTGAGTAGTCAATCTGCACTTCATTAAAAATCTTAGTGTCATTTTTGTCTCTTTTCCCTTGAATTTTTTCACTTTGTCCTTTGAATATTGTGAAACACCCGCTTTTGTTTCTCAACTCAAAGTTTTTCCACATTTATTTCCCTAACTATTATCAAAAGTGATACTTTGATTTTTCAACTATTATCACAATGACATTTAAGTCCTCCACTTATTGTGCCAAAATCATAGACGAAGGATTAAACGTCTAACTTTTATAAAAGTCGAGAGACTAAATATGAAAATATTCAAAGTTGTATCCAAAAATGAGTATCAAAATGTTGCATAATAGTGGGGACTAAAAGGGACAAAAGCTTTGAAGCATATTCAACAAATTTGGGTAATGTGAGTCTTATTTACCATGCTCTTAATTGTATAATGTTTTGTTAGTTTACCTTTGTATATTGTATGTGACAGAAATATTGCTAATTAATCTGTACCATTATTTTTAACCGAATTGTAAAGGGTAAATGGGAGTGTGGAGTGAGCTACATATAACAACCTCTTAAAGACTTCAAGAGTGAAAGAGTAATAATAAAACTACATGATAGAACAAGCATTAGGATTTTCATCACTGAACATGAGAGTGAATTGTTGTTCCATGGGATCCAAATAAGCAATGGATGGGTCAAAGGATGCCCTCACATAATTAGGGGGGGCTTTCTTGTCATAAACCCCTGGCATATAAGGGTGTGCCACTAAACCATAGGGCACATATGGCCAAATCTCACACTTCTTCCCAGTTGATTTTGCAGCTCTCATCACTCTCTTTGCATCTACAAACCCTCTGACTGTTGCCTTTTGTTGTTTCATATCCACTTCCACATTCTGTGCTCCTGCATTATACACAACCACACTATATAACAAGTCCTAAATTAATCCCATATCCATATAATGTGTTAGAGTAGGGGAATCTTGTGATTTATGACAACAACAATATCCAAGTCTTAATCCTAAAAGAATTTGGGGCCGACCAACATGAATCGATCAATGAATTTAGGAGAATTAGTGACTTACTATTGAAAATTATTTTTGTGCTACAACATTACGTACTTGTCGATGATGTCTAAGAATTAATAAGTTTGTCTACATTAACAACTTTTTTTATCGGAGTGTATAATTTACGGCAAAAATGCACCAGAAAAATTGTTGTATGAAATTCTCTATCAAATATACTACCTCCGTCCCACTATGTTAGGGACAATTCGGTTTACGATGTTTGACCGACGATAAAGCAAACAGATCCATGTCTGCACTCAAATTATTTTTAGAAAAAATAAATTACATATTCAGAAAATACATTAAAAACTTTACAAAGTTGCATAAACCAGAATCAAATTTGATAAAACTTTGATATATAAAGTAAGAGATTAAGAGTGCTTTGTATTAATCAAGTGAATAGAGTCTGGGATAATCTTAGCGGGATGGATCGGAGGGAGTAACATATTTCGTTGAAAAAGTTCTTAATGAAGATAAATGTATTAATATGATGATATGACTAGCAAGTGGTCGAGTAAAATTACAATACTGGAAATGGGCACAATTATAAGTTGTCGAACTAAATCTGCAATTTTCCCTTCAAAACCATTTTAATATTAGATGAAAGTCATGAAACTAATGATTTTATGAGATACTATCGTATGATCGTAAGTCAATACCTTCGTCGATAGAGGTCGAAGCACTTCACAACATTACAATATCTTGGTTAATTTGGAGTCTATATCTTATCAATAATATAAAGTACTCCGTAATATGTTGGTTTAGAGACTATTTTAGCAATAATTTAATACTCCCTGTGTTGGTTTAGAGTCTATTTTACCAATAATGTAGTATTTCATCCTTTTCAATAGTTGCCGCATTTTAATTTGATTTTTACATTATACCCACACCCCATTTTGACCTTGATTTTCTACTCCGTACTATAATATATAATCAAATGATCATATATAAAATATTATTAAATTTATATTCATGTGAATTTCCAAAATGTTAACTTTTTATACGAGTAATATTTATTAATACGTAATTAAATATAATTAGAATCAAAGTTGTGTATTGACAAACGTGAAAGTTGTTGCAATTAATAAAGGGGAGACAATACTTCATATATATAGACTCGTTTAGATCTGAGAACGTTATTCAACACATAGTATGGTGCCGTTTGGATAATAGCGGATGGAGCAAACCGCTGATTAATTATAACAGCAAAATGCAGCGGTTAGCTACCCACCCGCTAAAAATCAAATGAAGCCTATATCTTATAAATCTTGCGAGCATTGTCATTGACTTTTCTTCATTGATATAGAATTGTTGTATATTAATTTGTAGATAAATTTACTTATATTGTTTTAAAAAACGTTTTAAATAACAAATGTAGTACATCATGTCTACCTCCATAACAAAAAAATCTTCTCACTTTTTTTTCTTGTCCGTAACGAAAAAAATCTTCTCATTTCTAAATCTTCTCATTCCATAACATTATTTCACTATTTTCTCATCATACCCTTAATAATTAGTACACTTTTTCACTATTTTTAATCTACCTACTTTTGAAATGAGAAAGTTTTTAAGTTACGGAGCGGAGGGAATAGCTCGTTATGTAACTATAGGTGATTGGCCCCTACTCGTCATGTTGCTTTTCTTTGTTGCCATTTAGACTTTTTAAAATATTGACAATTTTGTCTGATTATCTATATTTGAGAAATTAAAGACGAAAATCTAAAACGAAATTATATCCATCTATATTTAAGTGAATGGATGGGTATATTATAATTTTATAATAATGGTATTATTCGAAGTGTTTTGAAAGGTCAAAATGTAATGTATTTTTTTCTTATTGTAATTGTCTAACTTTTCATCTTTAATCCTAAACAATACATATTTTTAGAGAACATGACCTCCTAAATGTATCCATTATAGTAGTAACTTAGTCTTATAGTGATGTACTATAAGACTATACTATAGTCACTATTAGCCACATTTTTGTAAATAAATTTTATTCCAACATACCATACTACCATAGTGTGTTTCCACTTGATTGAGAATTTGAGATAAGATTAATTGGTCTGGTTGTGGGCGCTAGCTTGTAAAAAGAGTTTTTAAATACAAATTCTTACAAAAATGTTATATACTACTACGTATGATACTAATATTCAAATAATGTTACTTGAATATCCACTAGTTTTCAAGCCCGTACGATGCACAACGGTAATTTAGCTAATTTTAAATTTGATTTTTTTAGGATCATATATAATGTGATGCAAAAGCAAAATAAACTCAGTCTAATATATAGTCTGTTTGATAATACTAAAATTGGTCGAATTGGCTTATTTTGCCGAAATTGATTAAATTCTAACTGAATGGGCTGAGTAGGTGGAATCACCCGAATCATGAAAAAAATGTAAAGTATATTCCATTTGTAAAATAAAGAACAAATTATATGAAAAATAGTTAAAATGATCTTTTACATAACTAATCTCAAGTAAACATAATAATAGTTAGGAATCCAATTTTAAAGATTTTATAATCTCGCATCTTCTAAATTAGTTTATTATGTACCTCAATTTTTTTCTAATATTCCTCATTCAACTTGGTATGAAATACTGAGTACATGCTTTTAACTTTTAATAATAAGATGTTACATTTTACTCATTATTTCGTCACATTGTAAATGTAAAAAAAAATGGAGTTTCTATACAATTTACTCATACATATACAATTGTTCGACCAGAATCATGTTTCACGAAACTACTAACTAGTATGTATGCATATATATTACGTACCTTTGACTTTAGAGAGGACGTTCCTGACTTTACGCACACAACCTTCACAATCCATTCTGATCTTGATTGACACTGTGCTCAACTGCTTCCTCTTCCTCTTCTTGCTTTTCTTGGTTCCAATTCTACCTATGAGCTTCTCAGACAGGTACTCAAGAGTTGTTATAATTCCCATCTTAGCTTAGCTTCAATTCTTTTCTTCCAATGCTACCAATGCAATTAACTCAGTAACTAATTGATTAAACTTGATTAGAGAAATTAAATTTAACACAAGATCGATGTTGCACGGAAATGCGAAAATATAATCTTGAGGAAACGGAAAATGATAAACGTCAACTTTTGCTCAAAAGAGCATGTTTGGAGAGTTTCTAAAGAGTTTCTGAAACGGAAACGTACTCTTTGTCAAGAGTTTCCGGGCTAAATAGCACAAGATTGATTATATTGGGAAATGGAGATAGATCGTGAAAGAATAGTGATCATCAAAAGGATCAGTGTACAAAGTGAGTTTTTGTCTCTCTCTCTGTTGTAAAGAATGTTAAGATACAAAATCGCAAGCTAAGATTTCAAGATGGAAAAGAACTAGTGATTATACGGAGTATATATTAAGTGGTGTTTTGTGAAATGATATACTTGCAAAATGACAGACTTGCAAATGGCCGGATGTATATATATGTGTGTGTTGTGTGTTGGAAAGAGGTGTTATGTAAGAAATCAGAAAAAATAAATATATATGGTGCATGGTTTTTGACGTTTAATGACTCTAAATATGACAACATTATTAATTAACATTGAAAAACAGGCTCACTTTAAAGTGAAATGTTTGAACAGAAAATCTCACTCTGTATATTTTAGACGCGCAAAAGACTTCAATTCGCTTTCAAGAGTCGACTTTGCAAAACAATCTTGGATTGTTTTTCTTTTTTAATTCCATTTAGATTTAAATCCTTCCAATTATAGTTATCAAATTCAAATGAAACCATATTTGATTTGGTTAATGTTGGTTGAACTTAGATATGTTTATGTGTTACTCATTTAGTGTATTAATTAAGTTTGTTTATTTCCTTCTAATTTATTTTAATTCAAGTTAATTCAGTTCGATCAAATGCAACCGGAATGTCCACTCCTAAATATAGTGGTTATCGATCTTATGCAATACATCATTCGTTCTTATTTAGTTGTCGCAATTTGAATTTCATATTTATTAATGCACAACTCTAACTATTGATAAACGTAATATTTAATTCAATATAGGTAACAATACAAAAAAGATCATATTTTGATATTTTAAATCAAAATAAATTTAGCAGTAATATTTTAATAATATAGTTTTTGTACAATAATAAATAGAATATATATCGTCAAAATAGAGTATGTAAATGAAATAAAATTATAATTAAAGTGCTATAACTATTAAAAAACGAAGATAGTATTGTGTGTGTATATATATATATATATATGTTGAGAAATGACTATAAATATAGTTGAACTTTGTATATGATAATAATATAAAATTGGTAATTAATTAGATGAAGTGTATATCAACCTAATAGTAATGTGTTTGAATCATGTGAAGGACTATTTCGAGGTCTTCTCGGCAATCAGCTATGACCACCCTACATGTGTTTGCCTTCTTGGGTGTCATTAATTGGATAGTCCCAAAACACCATCTATCGTAAACAGTTTACTCCTAATTTCTGGACCGATTGGGAATGCAGCTTTTCGTGAATCATGCCATAGTACTAAAATAAAATGAAATGAAATATAATGCATCGTTAGGTGAGGTTGTGATAAGTGGCAACCAATTGCCCGCAATTGGATTAATGACACAACATAATTAATCCTTCAATTCTAAAAACGAGATGAACAGTCATGTAGTTAGGGTTGGCCATGCCGGTCTGACGCAAACCAGGATTGGTGAATCAAAAGAAGGAAGAACACCTTTTAAAACAATACTTTTAAAAAGTTAATAATAGTATTTTTAATATTTTTTAATACTCGCTTTTATTTAAAAATCACTACATTATATTTTGGCACAATATTAAAGGAGAAATAATAATGGTAATGAATAGAGTCGAATTAAAAAGTATGAGAGAAGGTGGAAAAGTAGGAAATAGAAGATGAAAAGCAGAAAAAACAACGGTAATTGAGTATTTTTAAAGAAAAAACTTGTCAAAAATGGAAAGTGTAACAAACTTTTAAATACATACTAAATAGGAAAGTGTAACGAATTTTAAAATATAGAGGGAGTACTACGCATAAAATTAAATTGAATATGAAAATTTTATTAAAAACGTCCCTTATTTTAAAATATTTCATAAAAGTATAAAATTTATAAATTACATACAAATATAATACGGAGTAATTAAAATCATTGTTCAAAGTTTGTTGTCGTTCGACAAGAATATGATAATTTTTTAGACAGGTAACATATATTCCCTCAGTCCCGTATTTACGTCTACACTTTGACTTTTCGAATCAAAATTTGTAAATTTGACCGTTAATTATTCAAAAATCGTAATATTTTATAATATCAAAATAATTTTGAATGCTTCATTGTAATATATATTATTGAAATGTTGATTTATAAAAGTTTTATGAGTATATATTTTTATATATCAATGATCAAATGTCATCATTGAAGACTGTAAATTAAAATGTTTAATGTAAAGTTAATGAAGGGACGAAGGGAGTATATATTTGTTCCTCTATAAAACATATCCATGGTTTGAAATATGACTACTACCAACTGACCAAGTACATACGGACTATACTTTTATTGCTATGCCTATATGAAATCTATTTTGTCACAAGTAAAGAACATCATTTACTAAATGAAGAAGATTATTAATTATCTCATTAAATATAGGGGTCATAAAATTTGTGACGGTGGTCACTAATTAAAAAAAACATGTACTCCGTATTATTATTTCATAATAGACAATTTATTTAAATATTAAGCTTGACTTTACGGGTGGTGACGGATGAGATCTTTTTTATTAAAAAAGTTGTGCCATTTCATCATCTTCAAGTGAGCAAATTTTTAAATGCAAGAGTCATGACGGTGCCATATATTTTATGACTATTGGAATTGAATCTTGTGGGACATATATAATACTACCTTTTTACTTAAACATTTTTTAAGTTTCTCGTCAAATAAAATTTGACCAATTATTTTAAGTAAAATTTGATAAAAACATTTTCATGTTATTTTCATATTACCAATATTTATGTATGTGTATAAGTATAAAATCGATCAAAATTAGATATTTTGTACTCCCTCCGTATTTAAATGTTCACTACACTTGCTTTTGGCACAATATTTTAGGATAGAATAGTAAGGATAATGAATAGTATAGAAAAAGTAGGAGAGAGTGTGTAAAAGTATGAAAGAGAAGATAAAAGGTAGATAAAATAAGGGTAGTTTAGTATATTATAAAGGATAAACATACTAAAAATGGAAGTGCAGGAAACATTTAAATACATCCCAAAAAAGAAAGTGTAGGGAACTTTTAAATACGGAGGGAATAATGCGCAAATTATCAAACGCACCCTCATTTAAAGTGTAAGTTAGCATTTACTACGTAAGTTCAAGTCTTATACACATAACACATACATGTAGCAATTTGACTAATAATTAATAAAAGATGAATCAACATATTAATTTGAAGGTGCATTAATTGCATGTATGGTTTGATGAAAAAGAGTTGTTTGTACTAAAATTTTACTCCGTAAAATGCTAAAAAGAAGACAAAGGCATTCATAAATTCCTGGTCGAGTTTGGCTCAATTATTGGATTTAAATAATGTGTACAAAGGCTAAATTTCTAAAGATCTTTACGACTTTACGTGTAAGTTGTAGATGCATGCTTTGCACGATTATTAAGGTCCTGAGTCGTGACACCTGTAAATGTTGTTTCATGATTGCTATTTGCTACTTTTATTAGGTGTCTAATTAACCCCTTTTTGATAAAGTTAATTGACAATAGAAGTTCTAGCTGTAAATCTACAATCCAAGTTAGAATGTCATAAAAATTGATATGTTATGAAAACTCAACTAAATTGTATTGACTAAGAAATTTAGATGAGTAATTTTACAAATCTGAGCGACACTACTGTTAGAGATATTTTCATTATATTGTGATCAATGTTTCTTAGCTCTTTATATTTAGCATCTTAATTAAATAGATTAGCTAGAATAATGAATAGGCCTTTTAAGGCAAATATGTAATAAAGGTTTTATACCTTTTTAGGTATGGGCCTCCTAGGAAAAGGAGCCCAAATGATTGTAAAACCTACCTTTCCCGTCAGGCTATATATATGCCTTAAGGGAAAGGCTAGATTAAGCTTTTCGATATTCTAGTGCCGCAGTGCCTATTCTCGTGATAGAAGTTTTACGCTAACATTCATATCATTCTGTAAACTTCTTCATCACATCAATGGAAAGCTTCATTCCCAGATCTATCTTCCATACATACATTTTATAGACTAGAAAACAGGGACCTAACATCTGGTATCAGAGCTTGAGCTGATCGATCGATTGAAGGCTGAAAAACACTCCTGCGCGATTCTTCATCGTTGAAGTTTCGCAATTGAGCGATTTTTGGTTCTATTTTTGTTGTTATTTTTGCAGGAAAATGCCTGAAGGAAAGTGTTTCTAGGCTTGCTGGGATCACTTCTGTGAAAAATCTCAATCTGAAATTTGGCGTACATGTCAGGCAGAAGTTGAGCGATTCTGATATTTAGCGCAACTTGCTGGGAAGAAGAACAGGTTCGCGCAACGTGCCATCTGCGCGATTTCAAGCTTCTCAGATTTCGCGCAACGACTCCTGCGCAATCTCAGATTTCGCGCAACACTCCCTGCGCGATTCTGGACTTGCGCCATCTTCTTTGCAGATTGAGCGATCATCTTGCGCGTTTTCTACTTCACGCAAATACACGTGCGCTATTTTTGACTTGCGCAATTTGGACCTGAGCGATCCTTAAGTTGCGCCATTTTGGACTTGAGAGATTTTCTGGAGTTGAGCGATATTTTTACAAGTTGAGAGATTTTTTTGTTGAGTTGAGAGATTGTTTGTTGTTGAGCGATCTTTTTGACAAGATGAGCGATTTTTTGTTGAGAGATTTGTAGTTGAGCAATCTTACACTTGAGCGATCTTTTAGAAACTTGAGCGATCTTTTTGTAAAGTTGAGAGATTGTTAGTGAAGTTGAGCGATCTTCCAACACTTGCGCAATCTCACACTTACAACTTTTCTGAACAAGAACCTTCTGCCGGAATTACCTAACAACTGAACAGAATCAAATCAATCAACTGATCAGCCCGATCAAATTTTAAGATGGATGCTCTATCAATCGGAAATGATACAAGACCCCCAATCCTGCGAAGGGGTGAGTACAACGTATGGAAGAACAGATTCTTAAATTTTCTTGAGAGCAAGGACCAATCCTCAGGTCTTCTTGACTCTATCACAAATGGACCTGCACAATTGATGATAGCAGTTGAGAGAGATAACGGAAACAACCCACCGGTGGAGATTGAATGGAGGCCAAAGACGGTAGATGAATATGATGACGAGGACAGAGCAAGACTCCGAGCAGATCTCATTGCTAAGACTTATCTTCTGCAAGCCATCCCGAACGACATCTACATGCAGATTGACAGCATGTCAACAGCAAAAGAGATGTGGGATGAGATCTTTAAGATCATGCAAGGCACAGAGATAGGAGTAAAGGCGAAGAAAGCTAGCACATTCACTGCTTACGACTCATTCAAAGCCAAGCTCGGAGAATCACTTGAAGACACCTACCTCAGATTCCTGCAATTGATAAATGAGATGAGAAAGATTGGCGTGCACAAGTCAAACATGGAACTGAACGTGAGATTTCTATCTTCTCTTGGAGCTGACTGGAAGAAGCTGAGCTCACAGATAAGGCACACGAAAGACCTTGATGAAATGGACATCCATGCTGTGTACAATACACTTGACCAGTATGCTGAAGATTTTTCTGACCTCGTGGTCGCCTCTGTGACAGCTGATAAAGGGAAGGGAGCCGTGGACAAGCTTGCCGACACCCTTGCCCTGATGCTTGACAAGCCATCGAAGTCTGGCTCCAAGAAGGATAAAATGATAGCTGAAGAAAGTGAGACTACTGACAGTGACGCAGGAATGAGGAATGATTCAGATGATGATGAGATGCATGATTTTCAGAGGCAAATAGCCCTTCTTACCTCGAGGTTCAACAATCATATGCAGAAAAAGAAGAACTCTTCTAACAACAAGCTCCGCAAGTCCTCTTCCAGCAACAACAAGAGAAAAGAGCGATCTTTTGAATCGTCTGAAAATATTGTTGCTGAGGATGCTCCAAAGTGCTTCAATTGTGGGAAGACTGGACATCTGATGAAGGACTGCAGGATGCCTAAGAGGAAGAAGGATGCTGAGTACTACAAGCAGAAGATGTATCTGAACAAGAAGAAGATGTTGCTGGCTATGGAAGAAAACAAGGAAAAGAGTGCTCTCATGGCTGAAAAAGACCACTGGATGGATGATTCTGATGAGGAAGAGAATCTGGCCTTGATGGCAGTGGTTGAAGAAGAAGAGAAAGAGAAGGATGCTGAAAAGGAAGGAAAGATGAAGTCAACCCCTGCTGCTGATGAGAAGGAGAAAGACAAAGCTGAGGAGAAGAAGAACCTGCCTACTGCAACCAATGCTGACGTAGCGACTGCCCTGTCTGCTGAGAACAGGAATGCTGACAATGAAGTAAGTACCTCTAATCCATCCATTCATAACTGCTCTAGAACAGATATGCATGATAAATTTAAGGAGCTTGAGGTGAATTACAAACGATTGTATGAGGTATATAACCAACTGCGAGAAAAACAGACATGCTCAAACATTAAGATAATCAATTCAGAGAAAACAATCACTAAACTCACAACAGAGAATAAGCGACTTAGTGCTAGTGAGAAAGAGTTGACAGAGAAGCTTAGAACAACTGAAAAAGAAAGAATTAGGCTTTTTGGTGTCAATAATTTGCTAATGGAAAGAAGGGGTGCTCTTTATTCTAAAATCAAAGAACTAGAGGATCTGTTAGCCAAAAGGGACCAAACAGATCAGACTATTTTCCTTAACCAGCCTAAGGACACTCGTTTCTATAACGCCAAAGAAGGCTTGGGTTTGACCAATCCTCAGAACCTGAAAAAGGTCAACTGTAAACAACTCTATGATGTTAGATACATGAAAATAGGATTGACCAAACTCATGGCCTTCACTGGAGCTGAAGAAACGAATGCCCTTGAGGATGAAAAGAGAAAGACTAAGGCTGGTGTTGAGGTTCCATTTGACTACACAGAGTTAAACAAGAGCTACAAAACCAAAGCACTCCCCTTGACCCCTGCTGAAGAAATCTTGACCTATCCTCCTGAAAAGGAAGCTGAGAAAGACGGAGAGGAGGCTTCCACATCTGAACCAATTGAGAAACCAGCTTACATTCCACCATTGGTGAGAAAGTTTGCTGAGTTAAAAGATTCTTTTGAAAAGGAAAAACAAGTTTTAGAAAAAGAAAAGGATGAACTTTTAAAAGAAATATCTTCTTTGAAAACCGCCTCTCAGTCTAACACAGCTTCTCAACCCTCTTCCCCTTCTACTTCTGAAAACACTTCTGAAAATTCGAGCGATAGTTTTAAGACTTCTCCTTCTCACCCCAAGTCTCATTCTCCGACAGGGAAAGACGTGAAGAAGAGAGTCGAGAAGAAAGGAGAGTGGATTGAAGACAAAATAAGAAGGAAGAAGAGAGAAGAAGAGTCGAGATCAAGAAATAAGTGTCAGCGGTCGAGCGCCATATTCTATGTTAAGAATAAGTCTAGTTCTAGCATTAGTGAGCCATCTACTAGTTATGCTAAGAGAGTGGCTCCTAAGTCTTCTAGTTCTAAGATTCCTGTCTCGAATTGCTGTACTAAATGTGTTTCTCTGGATTGTGTTAAGTTAATGAAATGTTGTTATTATAAGTCTGTTTCTTCTTGCAAAACAAAAGATCCTGTGATTGTTAAGAATGTTGTGAATAAGCCCAAGATTGATAGGGTGAATGTTGAGAGTGAGGTCAAATTGCCATTTTTAAGGTATCCTCTCAAGATTCACTCAGTCAAACATCTGAAAAGGCTATCATGTGAACCAATCTTGAAAGATCATTTATCTGAACAATCACTTAGGACAAATGAAAGTTCCCTCGCTCCAAAAATCAATCAAATAAAACAAAAATGGGTTCCTAAGGCTGAAGCAGAAAAATTAAAAATGAAAAACTCTTCTCAATCAGCCAGCCTAGGATCCCAAATCAAAAAGAAATTGAAACAATTGCTCACTGTTGATAAGGAAGGACCCATCTGGCGATGGGTACCTAAGCGAAACTAATCTGTTTTGCAGGTCAGTCATGTGTGGCATCTTGATTCGGGTTGCTCGTCACACATGACTGGACAGATTGAACTACTGAGCAACTATTCTGAAAGGTTTGGAGGAAATGTGAGGTTTGGGAACAATGCTTCATCGCCCATACTCGGGATAGGAGATGTCATTTGTGAGAGCGTCACTATCAGAAACGTGTCATATGTGCAGGGACTGAAGCACAACTTGCTTAGCATTGGCCAATTTTGTGACAATGGAATGGAAGTGAGATTCCATGCTAGGCAATGTTGTGTGATGGATATGGGTGGGACACCATTATTAAGGTGTCAGAGGAAAACCAATCTCTACACCATTGATCTCAAATCGGTACGATCCCCCATATCCATCTGTCTCCTGTCCAAAGCATCTGAAGAACAAAGCAGCCTATGGCACAGACGTCTCTCACACTTGAATCTGCCAGCCATCAGTTCCCTCTCCTCGAAGAAGTTGGTGAAAGGACTGCCTGTTCTGAAGAACTCCCCCAACCATCACTGTTCTGCATGTCATTTGGGAAAGATGAGGAGAGCATCACACAAGTCAAAACAATTTCCCTCCTCATCTCGTCCCCTGGAGCTACTACATATGGATCTGTGTGGTCCGATGCGCGTGCATAGCATCAGTGGACGCAAATATACTTTGGTAATTGTGGATGACTACTCACGCTACACATGGACCAAGTTTTTGCGCTCCAAGGACGAAACTGCAAACTTAATCATGACGTTCATCAGGACCATACAGAACTATCTACAGCAGAATGTGAAGATCATCAGAACTGACAACGGGACGGAGTTCAAGAACAAGGAACTGACTGAATTCTATGAAGCTCAGGGAATTACTCAACAGTTCTCTGCAGCTAAGACACCACAGCAGAACGGTGTTGTAGAACGACGGAACAGAACCTTGGTGGAAGCAGCCAGAACCATGCTGATACAGTCAAAGCTTCCTCACTTCATGTGGGCGGAAGCTATCAACACGGCTTGCTTCACACAGAACAGAACAGTGATCCACAAAAGATTCGACAAGACGCCCTATGAGACTGTGTTCAAGCGGATCCCTAACATTGCCTTCTTCCGCGTCTTCGGTTGTAAATGCTACATTATGAACGACAGGGATGCTAGGGGGAAGCTTGATCCAAAAGCAAACGAAGGGATATTCATTGGGTATTCTATCAATTCCAAGGCGTACAGAGTATACTTGAAAGACAGAAGAACCGTCATGGAGAGCATCAATGTGAGCTTCTATGAAATGGCGGACTTGGCTTCTGAACATTTTCATTCTGAACCATCAACCTCTGCAAACAATGAAACTCCATCATCTTCTGGAGTAGGAGGGCAGGGAGGTGAGACAAGATCTGATGAGCACGTGGTTCTGGATTCTCTATTTGAACACTTCTACAGTCAACCACGTGCACCACCAACTACAAATGCTACACCTACTCAGAACCCCCTGTTACCTGCTCCAACCACTGAAGAAACCAACACTCCTACTCAAAATGATGATGAACACACAGAAAATGAAGCTGAACAAGAACCAAACTCTCCTGTTAATGATCACACTGAGGAAGCTGTAACGCAAGAAACCCCAGAAGCACAACCAGAGCAAGAATATTCTGATCCTGATCATCCAATCATAACTCCACAGCCTCTACAACATGAGAGAAAGTGGACAAGAGCACATCTGCCAGAGCTGATAATTGGAGATCCATCTCAAGGAGTCAGAACCAGAACGGCATCAGTCAATGAATGCTTATACTCATGTTTTCTGAGTCAGAAAGAACCAACAAAGATGACTGACGCATTGGCTGATCCGGACTGGGTGATTGCGATGCAAGAAGAAATGAACCAGTTTGAAAGATTGAAAGTGTGGACCCTGGTGCCAAGACCTTACAAGAAAACCATTATCGGCACCAAATGGGTATTCAAAAACAAGAAAGACGAAGACGGTGTGATCGTGAGAAACAAGGCCCGCCTGGTTGCAAAAGGTTACAATCAACAAGAAGGAATCGACTACGATGAAACCTTTGCACCAGTGGCAAGAATTGAAGCGATAAGACTATTCCTCGCTTATGCTGCACACAAGAACTTCACAGTGTATCAAATGGATGTAAAGACGGCATTTCTTAATGGAGATTTGAAAGAAGAAGTCTACGTTGCACAACCTGACGGCTTTGTTAATCCTGAACGCCCCAAACATGTATACAAGCTGAGGAAAGCCTTGTATGGTCTGAAACAAGCACCGAGAGCCTGGTACGAAGCACTGTCAGATTTTCTTGTAGAATCAGGCTTCTCGAAGGGAAAGATAGATCCAACTCTCTTCATCAAAAGACACAAGGGTGACATCATGCTGATACAAATTTATGTGGACGACATCATCTTTGCCTCGTCGAATCCAAACTTCTGTAAAAAGTTCAGCAATCTGATGCGCACCAAGTTCGAGATGAGTATGATGGGAGAGTTGAACTTCTTTCTGGGGCTACAGATCAAGCAAATGCCAGACGGAATATTCATAAATCAGTCCAAGTACATCCACGATATGCTAAAGCGCTTCAAAATGGACAGCAAGTTGACGATGAAAACCCCCATGTCTCCCTCACAGAAGCTCGACTCTGACCCTTCCGGGAAACCAGTCGATGCTACCAATTATAGGGCTATCATCGGTTCCTTGCTGTACCTTACATCTAGCAGACCAGACATTGTCTTTGCAACCTGCCTATGCGCCCGCTTTCAAGCAAATCCGAAGGAATCACATCTGAACGCTGTTAGAAGAATACTAAGATATCTCAAAGGAACAGTCAATCTGGGCCTTTGGTATCCCAAGGAATCAGGTTTTGACCTTGTTGGATACTCAGATGCTGATTTCGCGGGTTGCAAACTGGACAGAAAGAGTACATCTGGCGGTGCTCAATTTCTTGGTGATAAGTTGGTGTGCTGGTCCTCCAAAAAGCAGAATTGTGTGTCCACTTCTACAGCTGAGGCAGAATATGTCGCGGCTGCTAGTTGTTGCTCACAAATATTATGGATGAGGACCCAGTTGAAAGACTACGGGTTCACATTCTCACACATCCCGATCTACAGTGACTCTCAAAGTGCAATAGCCATCACGTGCAATCCGGTCCATCATTCCCGGACGAAGCATATTGATCTCAGATATCATTTTATAAAGGATCACATTGAGAAAGGCACCGTGGACATGTACTTTGTGTCTACGGAATTGCAACTGGCTGATATTTTCACAAAGGCCCTGGACGAAAAGAGATTCAATTTCCTGATCTCTAAGTTGGGGATGCTGAACCTAAACGACTGAGTAACATCTGAACTGTGTGTGTGCGTGTGCTTTCATGTTTTGCATTTTAGTCATCTTTGCATCACATTTTTTCCCTCTCTCTCTCATACATTTTTTATTATTCATGCATCACATATTTTCCTTTTATTTTTCATGCATCATTTTTTTTCAATGCATAAGTTGAGGGGGAGCTTTTCTAAACTGTTCGTAAATCATGGGGAGCTTTTTTAAAATTGTGTACAATTTGAGGGGGAGTTTGCTAAATCTTTCATTCTTAAAGGGATGCAAATGTTGAGGGGGAGCAATTTTTAAATTGAAAACAGACTGATTTGGGCCCGTTACACTTTGAAAATTCACCGGACCTATTTAATCTCCTAAATCTCGCAACTCTCACCCATTCATTCATACTTGCGCGAAACGTTACGACTCCCTAAAGCAAATCACTTTTCTCCCTTCTCCCCTCAAGCTCTCAATCTTCTCCAAACGGTAAAACTCCATTTCTATATGTTTCTTGACTGATTTACAGGTACACGTACAATGAAGAAGACGATGAACAGGCTGAACTAAAACACTTGCGCGAACTCCATTGCGCGATTTTTGCCCTGCGCGATCTTCGGGGTGATGCGCGATTACCCTTGCGCGATTAGGGCTCATGCGAGATCTGTTCAGTTGCCCGATCTCAAGCCCTGCGCGATTTAATCCTTGTTTGATATGCCAGGTTTGCGCGAAGTCGATGACTTGCGCGATCAGGGCTCGTGCGCGATCTGTCCTCTTGCCCGATCCCAAACCTTGCGCGACTTCCCCACTAGCGCGATCTGACTCTGCGCCATCCCATGACCTGCGTGTTTTTCCCCATTGCGCGATCAGACATGCGCTATCCCAAGTCCTTGCGCGATTCAGTTGAGCTTGCGCGATCTTAAGACAAGCCCAGCCCAAAATAGACCCTTAGCGGAAATTTTTCATGTGGACCAAAAACAATTAAGACAAGGCCCAACTTTGACCAAGACAAATAATCATTTTTA